TTGATGTCAACTACAACAGATACAGGGACCATTTCCTCTGCCCTTTTAAAAGTTGATAACAAGCCTATTTATTTTGCCATCTCAACAATGAATGATTACATGTTACATTGTATTTAATGATTTGCATTTTGCAGTGTTTTGCCCTGCTGTCCGTGACAGAACCAACACAAATTTCTGGGTCACGTCCCTCCAGTTGAGAACCGCTGATGTGAAAGATGATGCCTGATGCTGTCAAATGGCCCACTACTTCGTTCTTCCATCTGTGAGTGCAGTTTATTACTCCACTGCATTTTTTTAACTATTTTAAACTTTCAGACTAGGCTTTTTTCAGGCCAACGTTGAAGTTTGTTTATAAATGTTTCTCATCTAGTATTATATGGAAAAAATTATATATCATGCAGTGTGACATGCATAGTTCATCTAAAGCTATTTTAAACCATTTTTTCCAATGTATTGTTTTAATTTTAATATAATTATAATACATAAAATTTTATTACATCATATTATTTACTAGGCTATTTGTTTATTTTATTTTTTTTATTAAGTCATTTTTTAACTATTTTAAACTTTCAGACTAGGCTTTTTTCAGGCCAGCGTTGAAGTTTGTTTATAAATGTTTCTCATCTAGTATTATATTGAAAAAATTATATATCATGCAGTGTGACATGCATAGTTCACCTAAAGCTATTTTAAACCATTTTTTCCAATGTATTGTTTTAATTTTAATATAATTATAATACATAAAATTTTATTACATCATATTATTTACTAGGCTATTTGTTTATTTTATTTTTTTTATTAAGTCACACTGCAAAATGTATTAAACTGTAATAAAAAGCAAAAGGTGATTTAAAATGAAGAAAAATCTCCCGTTTTAATCAAACTAAATAGATTAATAATGTGCATGATATTTGTCATTCCATATGCATAGGACAAAATGTACTGCATATGCTAAGATGTCTCATTTTCACATTAAAATATCGCCTTAAAAAGTGCATTTGCTACATGGTTTCTGGCAAAAACACTCTGTTCTCTTCTATGCACAATTTTTCTCTACCCACAAAGAAAATTTAAAAGCTTAGAAAAACGCTGCCCCTGCCCAAGAAATAATAGTGTCCCTTCATTTTCTAGCCAAGGATATTAGCTCCATGGGTTGGAATTAACAGCCTAAACATTAAAGTCCCTTAACAGACATCTGCAGGATTGGACTAACACGCTTCACTGGGTCAGTCTCAGCAGCCACCAAGGTTTAGTTTGGTGAGTCAGGTGGTTTCAAAGAGGTACGCTACAACAGACATGAGCTCCACAAGGGAAACGCTGGCAGAGAAAATAAATAAATGGCTGTTCTTATGCGTGTGCTGTGGGGATCCATGGAAGTGCATCACTCTTTCCTGATGGGACTCAGATATGCTCCATATGTTTTACACAATCAGTTCCATACCACATTACCAACCGAGAACTCATTTAGAGCTAAACAAATCCATGGTTAGCCTCACAATACCCATAATTATACAAATCACAGAGCCTAAAGAAGCCGAGAGACCCAATGAGGAATGAATATCCTCCCACTTAGAGCCTGAAAGGACAAAACAACCTCAATGCTCAAAGCTAGAGGTAACATTGGTCATGAGTCATGACTTGAGTTCCCACTTCTCAACGCTACAGGACATTGAAATAATGATCCCCAACAGAGGTTTAAATCATTTTTCTTTGAGCTGGCTACTGCAGATTACTTTCTAAAGTGCCTCAATATAGGTTTTGAAGTAGTCAATTCTATAAATTATGGCTTCATCCTACCTAAAATCATCCTATCTATGAGAGAACATTGAAAATACGTAAGCTTGATGTCTTTAGTTAATCCTGAGACAATCAATCAAGTACAATCCAGCAGAAAAATGTCAATTTTCATCAAATGTCATAATATTGGAAATGATTTCATTGTAAATACTCTGAAACTTCTACCTTCGACAAGAAGATAATACTAATGCATGCAAAATGTGGTCAAGAAACGCCCAGTTATTAAACTAAAGCTTTCCTTTCGGCTGGTTACACAACTTTTTAAGCTCATGAAAAATGTATCTCCACATTCAACGTAAGACATACAGTACAAGACAACTAACTTCCTTCTTCAGATATTATCATGACCTCATTTTGACTTCATCCTTTCCACGTTAGAGCAGCATTCCTGTTAGTTTACAAATGTACACACTCCTGTCAAATGAGATTTCCATTTCCTCATAATCACATAAGCACATGTTTGACTAATCACATGTTTTTTCAAAGCTTGCAATTAAAATTACCATACTCACATAACCCAAGTTCATTTTTTAACTGCTCTATTAGTGATCACTCTAAGAAAGCATTAAAAATGCATTTAAGTATATATATA